GAGCAGGGCACATCATTGGTTGAGGAATCCCCATAAGGGGGTCGTATTTGGCCGCAGGAGAGGGGGGGGGGGTCGTAATGAGGGCGGTAGCCAGTATCGAGCAGCGCAAAGGTCTCAGTGTGCTGAGTCCAGAGTAGCGGAACTCGCTTTGTAGAGAACTCGGATATGTAAAAGAAATAGTAGAAAACTTTCAACCATCAATTAATCCGAAATAACTGAAATTATTATTATAATAAGTCGACATTATCTCGTAAGTCCGTTGATGACTGAACAGTACAACTCATACTCTGGTTCGTTGCGGATGATGGGGCGCTGGTCTGCGCACTTACGCTTGGAGCTGAGCCAAGCTCTTTTTTTTTCGACAAGCGACAGGACTACCATATCGTTCGTACCAGACGTTTTCCAGCAGTTGGTCTCCTTTATCGGAGACAGCAATTGGCGGAGCACACATCTGGCGGCGTCGACACAGACACGCTCCATCATCCATCATCGCAAGGGAAAACACTGTAAACAAGTGCACAGGTTCGCCATGGATCTCCCTGAATCCTATAGACACATTTGCTCGCGTGGACAGACATTACGCACAAATTGCACCATCCCTTCACCTCTGCGCGGACCTCAGTGCGCGGCGCATCCAAAGTCAGCGTGATCGGCGCTAAACGAACCATATTCTGCTCCTGCTCCACCAGAGGATACGTTTTTCATGCATTCCTGGCTATTCGAACACGCTCACTTGAAACGGTACACAGGAAACGGGTTTTTCGCGCAGCTGGGAGTGTTCCTCAAGAAATCCCCATAGCGAGATCTCATGAATCCCGAGAGCTTCAGAAACAGTTTAAGAGGTTTTTAGAAAGAGAAAATCTTTAAACACTCGAAAGCCGTTCTCAGATTTGTGAAATGTTGAGTTACAAAAAAATATCGATTGCATTTCAAACCTGTTATGAAATCACTCTCAACGAATCTCTATTGGCCCAGATTCCTGCATCGTGTTTTTTGCGGACCCACAGGTCCGCTTTTGAGGAAGTTATGGTCCTTCAAAGACACCCCACTTTGCTGAAAGTTCGCGCTCCAGTGCTAAAATTGACGAATAATCTCCAGTCACGGCTGCAATTACATACGCATTTCTGCTACCGTACTCCACATCTCGGTTAATGCACTTGTAGCCGCATGTCTTTTTTTGTTTTTGTTTTTTCTTTATGCCGCTTTTTTGGGTTTTTTTCGGTTTAGGCATAGTCTCAATTTAACTTCGCATTTATGCCTGTGTTATGCCACTGCATTCCTGTTTTTTTGATTACGAACCTTGCACATAAAGTATAAATCAACTCAACCTTAGGTAGGGACTGTTATATATCTATTTTTTTATTATTTATTATTTATTTATTTATTTGTGGACGCAGTGAAACTGCGCTACATAATTGTACAATCACAATCGGCAAGTACATCAACTGGAGTAAGACAAATCCCATAAATGTGAAAACTTAGGAGACCTCTGAATTAACTAGCCTGGTGGCCCTTATACGAAAGGCTCCAGGTGTCATTTGGAAAATATCTGGGCCAAAAATTTTGTTCAATAAGTGAAGCACCCTGATCACAAAGAATTTAGACCTGACTTGCGTTCTCGATACAGGGGCCCTGATCTTGATTATTGCTCCCTCATCTAGAGGTGACTAAGTAAAGAATTCATCCGATTTGACCGTTGCTCTACCAGTGAGGATCTTGAAAGCCATCATGAGGTCATTGATCAATCTTCTATTGAGTAGACTGGGTAGCCCGTAAAGACGCCGTCTTTCTACTGCGCTTGGGAGAGAATCATAACTTATTCCGGAACATCGCAGCGCAAGTTTACGAGTAAAGCTATTCTGGACACTTTCCAAGAGCTTAATATCCTTTTTTTATATGGCGAGAATACTGAAGTTCCATGTTCCACTACAGGTCTAACATAGGATTTATAGGCCTGCAGCAATATCTTGGGATTTTTCGAATTCAGTGCTTTGAAGAGAGTATAAATTCTGTTGTTAGCCTTGGAAACCAATGTCTTATAATGTGTTTCAAATCCAAGTTTGTTGGAGAAGATGAAACCTAGATCCTTTATCTCTTGAACTGACTCTAAAGTTACTGATCCAATTTTGTAGCTACGACTGAAACGTTCACTACCGATTCTTAAAACTTTGGTTTTATCGGGAGCTAAGGGTAATCCCCAATTCTCGGACCAACATACAATATGATCAATAGCTCTCTGCAGGTCCTCGCAGTCAGACGCACTTTCCATAACTTTGTACAGTTTGATATCATCGGCATACATTAAGCATTTGACCCCAAATCTGGACAAGGAGGTAGGGAGGCAGGCCGTGTAAGCAATAAACAGTAAAGTGATAAGACTCCACCTGAGGCGATCGAATACTTGTGAAGAAAAGCTATTCAATTTCGCACTTTGGTACTGTTACGATTGCAACAAATGGAAGATCGATTCATCCAGCGTACTATGAGAGGATAAATCCCGAGCGATTCTAACTTAGCAGTGAGTTTGCGGTGTGGTACCCGATCGAAAGCTTTTGCAAAGTCAAAATATACCACGTGTATAGGCTTTCTGCTATCAAGTGCGCTGGTCCAGTCGTTGAAAGAAGTAAGTAATGCGGTTTCTGTTGATTTACCCGTTGAGAAACCGTGCTGATTTATGGGAATAAGACTGTTTCGGTTCAAATAAGTAGTCACTTTTACCTTTGACAATTTTTTTTCAAAAAGTCGTGCAAAAACAGAAGTGACACTTATGGGCCGATATGTTGGAAGGATTTGCTGAAGGGAGCTTTTCGGAACTGGAACAATGAAAGAGTGTCTCCACCTTGATGGGACCTCCGATCTCATATATGACAAATTAAAGAGTAGTTCCAAAGGTAAAGCAAGACAATGCGCAGTCCTTTTGATGAGATGAAGGGGAATAAAGTCAGGTGTTACCGAATGGGAGTTAGGCCATTTTGAAAGCAAGTCGAAGATCTCATCTCTGTGAAACCATAGATCTGGACCCATAGTAGATCCACAGGGGGGAACTTATGAGAGAACACATCGTCTTCTTTCGCGAAAATTCCTTGGAAATGTTCTGCTAATATCTCCGCCTTTTCTTCATCAAGTATGACGATTTTTGACTGACTGGTACGCAAGGCAGGAATTTTCTTGGGTTCATTGAGGCGTTTATTAATGTATGTGAATAACTTTGTGGAGTCCCCTGACTCGACAACCTTCTTTTCCAAATAGGCATTATATCTAAGCAACCGCCTATTGAGTCTGCTGTCCAAAATCTTATATTTACTCCACATGCGGTCACTACCCTCAGCTACGGCACAGGACCAAATTTTCCTGCGCTGACTTATCATTCTTTCAAGGTACCGAGGAAGTTTGTACCTTGCGATTCTGGTCTTTCGAAGAGGAGCAAACATATCCATAGTATAATGAAGTATTGAAATGAACAACTCGTATTTCTCCTCTAATGAGTCCGCAGTAGCGAAGGAACCGATCCAGTCAATATTGCTCAGGTATCTTTCAATTGCCGCGTCCGTTAACTTAGCCTCTGTTGGAAATCTCTCGACCCATCTCTCGGAAGCAGCTGAATTTGAGCTAAGGTTCAAACTGAAATCAACTGAGGCATGGTCGCTGTTGCCGATTGGGGGGATCACTTCCACATCTCTAACTAACTGAGCATCATTGCAAAGAATTAAGTCTAGCCAGGAGGAACCCCTTGTGGGTTCTTCAACAAACTGTACAAAAGATTGTTGCGTCGCGAAATACAATCAACAAATTTCTTTTAGAAGTTGAGGCCTAACCTCGTCGCTACCTCGCTTCGGTTTTTCCAATCAATGTCGGCCTAGATATAAAATCGCCCTGCCACCAAAATGGAGATCTTGCACACAAAGAATCACTAATTTATTCTCACGCAATAGGCTGGAATCATTGGAATCACAAAGTGGAGTTCTGTATACTAAGATTAGCCTAATAGTGCAGTGATCGAAAAATATGTCAGTTACAATAATTTCATAAGCATCTCGCAATGAGTCTTTGAAAATGATATCGAAAGATATGTAGTTTTTGATAAGAACTACAATTCCCCCACCCTTCTTGTAGAGTCGGTCGCACTCGCAAGTAACATCATATTGTGAGCTTGTAATTCCTAGAGAGGTGCCATATCATTTTTACTGCTAAGCCAGGTCTCTGTCACGAGAACCAAGTCATAGTTCATGTAAGTCATAGCTAAAACTAGAGAGTTATAATTTTTGACTATAGATCTAACATTAGAAAGTAGACATCTGATCTTTCCAGGCCGGGGAGTATTCAGAGGTTTCCCTGAGCGGTAACGTTGGTTTTTGCATTTTCTGCATCTGCAGTTTGGTCATTAGCAAATGTGCTATGTGCGTGTTTACTACCGTCAGAAGAAGTGCGATCCGAAGTTGAAATACGAGCTCTGCGCCTGCTATCTCTCTCTTCTTTCGTCAAAGATGGGCGAATATAGACTCCTTTGTAAGGAAAGAATCGCAAGCGTGGAGCTCTTTTAATCGTTTCTTTTTGGAAACGACTACAGGGAAGTACAACTTTTAGGAGTCGTGGCCGAGATTTTTTAACGCCCATGCGATACACAAGACCGGGTACACATTCAATCCCTAGGTAATTCAGAATAGAAGAAACAGAATTGTAATCATGATGAGCACGATCCACGGAATTAGGTGACTCGCTCTCAGAACACCCCTATTATTATAATTGAACGATCACGATCAGGGTCTCTGAGCTCTTCTTCTTGAGGATTACTCCTTGACTCCTTGACATCGAAACCGGATGCACGTCCTTTCTACACACTGAAGTCGACTTTTCAATAAGATATTTTCTTCCTTGAGGGCTTTGTTTTCTTCAAGAATAGCACTGCATTGTCGAGTCAGTTCACTCATTTCCTTTTTTGTATCGAGTAAAACCGCTATGACAAGTTTAACATATGTGGGAAGACTTTCCTGAGAGCGAGTCACGCCTTAGGACGGCTGATGCCTGCACGCCTTCCTCTGAGATAAAGATTGCAAGATTGGATTTGCTGAGCGGACCCGGCTCCGCCGCGCTTATCTTTCTCCTCACCGGCTTTTCTTTTATACAGATAGTCAACAATCTTTGACCAATACGTTCATACGAGTAGCTCACTTATAGTGCACTAGTGCACTACATGTTCTTTTTACATAGTGAGGTTGTAAACAACCACACATTGCCTCAAAGTGATACCAAAACATGGATTTTATTCGCGACTCTGCTAGCGGTTGATCCTTCCTCTATTCACCTTATCGCTTTCATTGGCGCTTTTATTACCACACTTGTGATGAGTTTCTACTAAACGCACTCTATGCTTCCCCTCCCGTACTCTCCCTCACTAATCCCACCCACCCACATTATACCCTCCCCACTCCCACTTGCCCCACCCACTCCCCATCCCGGCCGCTGCACGTGCTCACGTCCACCTGCCACGCGAGCAGCTCGTGCAATGGTTTGGAGTGCACTACATGGTTCTCTTATATAGTGCAGGGTGTTATCACAATCAAAACATTGGATTGATACATCTGCACCAACTGGTTTCGCCACCGGCTAGCGGTCGTACACTCTCCTACACTGACGTGTTTGAACCCGTGAAGCATTTTGCGGACGGACATACATACATACATACATACATACATACATACCGACAAACCGACACACAGAGTTAGTGGTTTTATAGGATAGGAAGGATAATTGTTTATATCTAATTTCAGAAGTATGTAACGTCAAACAGTAAAAATTCTCTCTTCTTGTGTGTGTGTGGGTAAGGCCGTTTTAAGAACGACATTACAAGTTGAAAGAAGCAAGGTTACCGTAGTAGCACAACAGCATAGAAGAACGGAGGAGACTGAGGCGTAGAGTCAACGAAACGAGCGTCAACGATCGTTTGAAACATGGAAGATCGATTTCTCTCAGATTGCTTAATGAACCTTAGCTCTACGATACCAATGATTAATTGTATCTATACAGCAGAACTCTTCTAGAGGTTATAATAAATCTCCAAAAAAGTATGATGAATGCCAATTGTACCCTTCTGCGACGGTCGCATCACTGAACACTTGGTGTGCCCTTGGACACTTGACTTAGGCTGCGTTTATACTTTGCGGCAGCGTAGCTTAGCGTAGCGCTTCCAGCGTACGCCAGCGGCAGTGCCGAAGAGAGGATGCATATCGATCTAGCTTCACCAGCGTCACCAGGCGTACGCTAGCGCACGCTGGCGTAACGAGGGCACGGGATGCATCCTCTCCTCGGCACTGCCGCTGGCGTACGCTGGAAGCGCTACGCTACGCTGCCGCAAAGTATAAACGCAGCCTTATCTGTAGATAGTTCTATACTACGACTGCCTTACATGTAGCCTACATCCTTACGTTATCGATACTTTTTTGCATATTTTCTTAGTAAGAACTCACAATTTGAACGAAATACATTTCCTCAGGAAGGGTAGCAAATGAGGTGTCCGTGAGCTGAGCATATAGGATACACTAAACAATTGTAATTTGCTGGTAATCGAAAAATGAAGAAGATCTCACCTGCGTAGCGGCCTCGCTCTGCTCAACAACCAGGTATGCTACCACACCGTAACGATGTGATGGAACTTCATCCAAAATCTGGAACACAGCGGACGAAAAATGACTTTCCTAAGAGTTTTGAAACCAGCGAACATTGTGCGGAGAAAAGATAACTTTACAGTCAGTCAAGAAGGTTACAAAACGCACCAGCCACCGTCCCAAGAACACTTTCCCTGGCACGAAAACTCTCCAAAAAATGCTGAGATCAACGAAAGGGAGTATACCATCACAAGGGCTTGAAATCAGCACACTTGTGGCATCTGTCCCGCAACTCTTCTGAAATGAGGTAGACTCAGTTGATACTTCGCAACCTGATTGTGCGGGTGACGTGGCCGCCCTTATCGCGCGCCCATGATCAGTACTGCTCTACCGCTAATCAATGGACTTCAATTGCTAGTTTAATCTGATTTAGAATGAAATATTAGCTGCCCATTTTTTTCGGTGTGCTTACCTGTTGTAAACAGTTGGTGGCGAATACAAATCAGCGCCAGAAGATTTCCACATAGGATTGCAGGTCAATAGCACAAAAACGCAGCAGTGATGTAGTCACCATTAGACCGCGTTCAGACTTGGCAATCCCACGACCGTATCGCTCGACTGGACCGCGCGATTGGATCGCTCGATCGATCGTGCAAGAATGACAGAGGCGTTTCAGCGCCAAATGGTGCAACGCCACAACGGCACAATCCAAACTGGCACTGTGCCAAAGCGGCACGGCGCGATCATCGAGCGATCCAATCGCGCAATCGCGAAGTCTGACGCGGTCTCACACTAATATGTTCTGGACTGTGTGACACACATGGTGTGTCATATATTTTCCATTATTTATTTTCCATATGGTCTATTGGCATCCATTCCATGTTCTAGAGCTATATGCCAGGGGGGACACACATCTCGCCAAAAAACGAAAAAAAAAAGATGTAAAACTACTGATTATCTATGTGAGAAATAAAGAAATGATGTGGAATCATCGTAGAACGGCGGTACGCAAGGTGTACATTATTGCCATCAAGTGTGCGTCACGGAAAAAAGAGGCAGGTGAGAATTACCCCATCGTCGAGTCCATACAAGTAAATGCAAAAAAATGAAAATTTGTAAGACCCTTCATCCCATAAGCCATTTCGCATTCATACTTCGCGAGAGTTCGCGTTGAGTCGCGCGGTCCAATCGAACGACCCGATCGCGCAGTCGCGATGTATTAACGCGCTGTTATTGATTAAGGTCTGATTTTGATGGGGCGATTAGAACAACCACGTCGCTTGCATCGGATGGCAAAGTGTGAATGCGATTGAGACACTGTGTTGACATTATAGGAAAAGCGAGGCAAAAGCAGCTCACCAAGTAGCTGTCGAGCTTTCTTTTTTTACACATGAACTGTAGCTCTTTCTCGAGCCTTTTCCTTTTTTCCTGGTCACGTCTCTCCCTCTTTTGCTGCAATAATTTCTCTTTTATTTCTTTTTTCATTAGTCGCTCCTTTTTTCGTCGTTCTAGCTCTTCCAACTTCTGCTTGCGTTTCTCCAATCGCATTGCATTCTTCGTTTCGCGCTCCTTCGCTTTTGCTTCCTTAGCTGCCATCTTTTCTGCCAATTTTCGCTCTTTATCCACATGGGGTTTTCTGGAAGGAGTCGGTTTCGTCGATGAATGCCCTTTGAGTTGGGCGCATCTGCGAGCACGGCCCCGGACACTACATTTAGGTGAGGCGGCCTTTTGCTGTCGACCTGAAAGCTACATATATAGTGCTGGTATTAAACGCTGCAAAAAAGGTTCTCAAAACGGAATTGACCTACACCGTCCATGCTCAAAATTAGATCCCTTCTCAAGGCTCTTCGACGAACTGACTCTTCTGCAACATCCACTTTTTTTAGGCCTTTCATCAACTGCAATCAGTTCAGGTGCCGGTTCTCGACCAGCTCTTTTTCTGCTTGCATTCAGATCACCTATAATGCGTGCTCAAAAAAAACTTTAAAATACCCAACGACGAGCAGAATCTTAATTGGTGGGAAATGATCTGCGAAACCTACACTGCGTTTCCAATGAATGCTTCTCCAATTTTCTCGCCCTGTCGTGGAATCGAAGCCTACCGCGTTTCGTAGCCTTGGCTACTTTGATGGGTGCTTTGGGCCGTCGTGGTCCGCCGCGCCTCGTTGCGTTAGGGCCTTTCGCAGCCACATCAGAAAGGCAGGGACGTCCACTCTTCTTAATTCCATTCTTGCCACCAGACGAAACAGAATGTTGCGGCCCAGGTTGTCTGCCATCTGATGGATCAATTTTGCTATCATCTTTTCGCATCAACCTGACGCTCCTACGTCTAGCGGCACCTGAAAACTCAAATGTCTACGGCACTGGCACAATTAGGCGTCGATTAAGCGCTACTACGTCTTTCACCGAATACGACATTCATTTTGACACCACTCAGCTATTACTACCTCGAAAACTCAATTTTTTTCCCGAATTAAAGGTGGTTCGATGTCCTGATCACGAGTATAACACTCCGGCACAAAGTTGCCAACCTCATGCGTGTTTTGACAGCGACGCATTTAGCTCGGTTTCCTGGCTGCTTCGTGCCAAGCTGGGCTATGTCCGTTAGAGAAGCACTGCCAGACGAGAGAGTACCCTTTCTGGTTATGATAGTGATCCATATTTCGGCTCAGCTTCAGCAGAAGAAGGAATCATTCAGAGTGCAGCAGGCTACGTCGTGGTGTACTCCCTTTTTTACATCCTTAACTCCACTGACATCTCAGATAACAAATAAAATTTTCGTGTTCTGGAGGTCGAACTACCCTTGATGACAAGTCTCCAGCGAACTTGGTGATTTTGCTCTTTCAGGGCCGGCGCCTGTGTTGCGGGCGTCACGCGGTCAGGGTACAGCATCGTTGTGCGAAACCCATGGGGGGGTCGTACCTGGCCGATGGAGAGGGGGGGGTCGTAATCTCAAGGGTCACTCAGAGCCGAGCAATGCTTCGACATTTCAGTTGATAGTGGGAGTGGAGCTATGGAAGTCAAGATGTTTAAAAAAAATGAAGTTTATTATGAGTGTATTCTTTACAGCTTTAAATGCTACGTTTAACAGCCCTCTTTTCATGGGAAATCCCCAAGAATGGGTTCGTACTTGGCCGCGGGGGACGTGGGGAGTATCGCAAAAGTAGGCTCGCTAGGCATCAAACAGTACAAAGGTGTCATTGCTAAGGGTAATGGAACGGACGGAAAGCTTCAGAAGACCCGGATGTAAATAGGAATACAAAATAATAAAAGATTTATTAGCAATATAGCAAGAATAAATAAATAAATAAATAAGTGTCAGTTTATAGCATGAACTCGTAAGTACGTAGATGACTAAATAATAAGATTCGTGCGTGTTGTCCTTTACAAACCCTAAACAAACATCTGCTTGCATGGATAAAAGCACCTGAAATCAGAATTTACACCTTTCCACCACCTCTGCGTAGGAGCCTAATGCACGGCGCACGGACCAAATCGATCAGAGATAGCCGAGCTTCTCTTTCACTCATTTGAAGGGAAATATGTGTTTTGAAGGCACACTGAAGTTTGTATCCTCACAATGGCACATAAGGAGTCAATTTTTCGGGTGGGTCAGAGGGTGGCGCATCTGTGACCCATCTAAAATATCTCCTGAACTAGTGGGTCTTCAGAAAAACTGTAAAGCTTATTGGAAAGAGAAAAGATGGAGGGGTTTCAAGACGACTTCAGTCCTGATGAAATTGCGTTTGAACGAAGCAGTCCTTGTGTGAATCATGGAAACCAGCTCGCGATTTACCCCTGGCCGAACCGTGACCCATCCGGAATATTTCACCAACGGGGATTGTTCAGTTTGCAGCTAGGTAGAATACACAATAGTAGAAACTTTGCCGTTGCATGCTGCTCACCATTCCTCAAAAGCTCCGCACCTAAAAAAGATATAACCCCCCGAACAGACCCCAGGACGTTGGCAAGTCCAACAACCGCGCTCCAATGACGTTTTTCCAAAGAAAGCGGTCGCAGCCTTGCGCCCTGCAGCCTGATCGATAATAGCCAAGTATGGAACGATTTACTGCCGGCCTGGTTATCCTTTTTTCATTTAGCTCTGCATTTTTTGTATTTTCCATGTTTCGCTTTGTTGTGTCGTGCATGTTTTCATTATTTCCCCGTCACCATTCATTGAATGCACATCTGGGCCCTGACGCTCACCTTGGGGCTATTTTTTTTCACCAATTCAGCCTATCAATGATCACCATTAGCCGCTATTTCAATTGTGTTTTTTACAAGTTGCATGTCATACATAGTTATCGAACGAGGAGTTTTATTTTGAATCCTAAGACAAAATTGTAGGTAATGCGAGGCTGTTGTTCAGCCTCATATTGCATGAGGCTGAAACAGCCTTTTATTTCCTGTATTTTAGAGCAGAGTGCGCCTTTCGAGAATCCAGATTCCATTTCAGGAAGCCATTTGTGGTGAACATGCATCTGGTTGTCAGTTAGAGCAGGAGGGGGGGGTCGTATCTGGACCCTCTTCGAGGGGGGGGGTCGTACCCACACCGCCATTTGACACATCCCTATGCTGTACCCTGCACGCGGTTTAGGACCAAGCGGACGTGATGATCATGTTCGGAATGTCCAACTATCCTCGTGACAAGTTATCAGCCAAATCTGCTGCACTAGAAAGAGGTTGGTAGAAAACCGGCCTGATTCCGCAAGACTGGGGTAGTAGTAACTGAGTAGTTCCTTCATTTTTTTAACATTAGCGTCTCAGCGCTTCAGGGTTGAGCTTGATTCCCTTCCCGCCAGCCTCAGCCTTAGTAAAGCGCTCATGATCAGATAGCCCTACATTAGCGCAGGCACCACGACAATTTGGTGAGAAAGCTGGTGACGCCAAATGGCCACAACGCCAAAAACAAATGTCAAATTCGTGATCAGGGCACAGAATCGCTCACATGGGCAGTATTTCAGTGAAAAAGATATTCGAGGTTGGGGTAGTAAGAATTCAACAGATGCCGATGTTTTCGCTTTACCTGAAGGCTCTCCACTAAGTTCTTGGCTCGTTTCGGTTATTGGTAGTCGGCTGGCGTTGGGGACTTGAACATTTCTGGCGTCGTCTGTATCACTGGTATCCAGCTTTCTGAATAATAATATAGACCAACTTTATGCGTAGTTCAGAAAAGCAACAAGTAATAGATGTAACCAACAACTCACATTGGAGGCTTCTTCGTGCGTCGCTTCATATTGGAGTAGACTACCGCTGATGAATTACCCAATCTAAAAAAGCGCGCGCAAATAAAGAACTCATGTATGGATAACTCGGTTCCCTTCGAGCCTGAGGCAACGCTCATAGTTCGTTTCCTACAGTTCGCGGAAACCGCTATGGGGGGGGGTCAGACTCGTGTCGACTTCGTAACACTAAAAAACTGGATTGTGCGATAACACACCCTGTCTGCACGACAAGAGCGCCAGAGGGTGTTCGCTTCGGCTGTCTGGGCTCTCTCGCTGTCTCGTACATGGATTGATTCCCTTCCCTCGAATGGATAAGTCGATGTGACTGTGACTGACAGGTGCCAAGAGGGCGCGGGAAATCTTTGAAATACTTACATCTTGGGCGCCCTATAGGAGCGCTACGTCACATTTTGAACTCTTGTGCGTGGTCCTGTTGGGAAACCATGTAATGCAGGCAGATAGAGGACAGTTGCTACCAAAGCATCGAACGGGCAAGAAACATGTAGCGAGCCAGGAAACGGGTTTTTCAGGGGGAGGGGACTCCGGGGTGGGTGAACCACTTATAATCCGTGAAAAGCTGGAATGTGCGAAGTCACAACGGCCATAGAGTGCCATGCGGACGAGAGAGTGCAGAGAAAAAGAGAAGATCGACGCGTTCAAAGGGATTGAGTTCAAGTTGTCCGTAGTCTACTGAAGAGATGCCGGCTCGCGCATCGCGCGCAAACCATCATTCCTTGTCAGTTGACTCGAACTGTCGTGAATCAGTTAAGGAGTAGCAGCTTACACCCTACGCCGTTTATTCCACTCAACGAGACCCGAGCAAACAAAATAATTCTCTTGCTTTGCTTACCTATATTGTTTCTCACTGATTTTCCAAAGAAGCTGAACCATATGTGGCTGAAGGACAACGAGAGATTTAGGTCAGTGAACAGTATCAAAGTTCAAGATCATGAGGGTATTAAGAGACTATTTCGGTGTTAGAGCAAAGGCTATGGCAGCAGAAAACAGAAGATAGTATCACTACTCAGGTGACAAGCAGCTGGCAGCGAGGACATGGCACCCTTGTGTTCATGTGTTCCCAAAACCTTGTCTGAGAGCGCAGACGCGCGTGGCCTGCCTCGTCAACGGTACCTCCTAGCGGGTATGTGCCTTGCTGGATTTTTTTCTGGGTCTCCATAAAAGACTATGGTCGTCTGAAACCTGAAAGGTGCGGTAGCACGTAACAACGCTTCCGAAGGAATGTGCGAACAGTCAAATCTCTACAAATGATAGGGCCTGTGCATGGGCGTAAGTTGAAGCACCGGAGCTGCTTTTCTCGCCAATTGCTGCGGATTCAGAATTGCATAATTGGCGGGAAAGGCCACCCTGATGCGCTGTGGTTCAGGGACCGTTCCCACGCTACCAGTTACGGAGAGTTACAGGGAGGTTTCAAAGTTCATAAAATTTTTTGTCATGTTTGGACAGTTAGGGTGCCACTTCCCGGTACCAGTTGGCCAAACGGTTGCAGACACGGAGAGCGCTAGTCGACCAGGAAGACAGAGAGTGACAGAGAGAGAGAGAGAGAGAGAAAGGGAGAGTTGGAGCAGTCAGTAACGAGCAGCGCAAAGATGTCAGTGTGCTGGTCCTGCATACTTGCTGGATGTAGGTGCTGGAACTTGCTTCGTAGGGACCCCAGATATGTAAAAAAATAGTAGCAAACTTTACTGATTAAACTAATCCAAAATTAAATGGAAATATTAATGATTTGAGATCATTTTGTAAGTACGTAGATGACTAAGCGGTCCTACTTATACCCTGGTTCGCGGATGATAGGGCGTGTCCGCGCGACCGCTTAGGCGCTGAGCCAACCTGTTTTTTTTTCGACAAACGACAGGACTACCATATCGTTCGTATCAGACGTTTTCCAGCAGTTGGTCTCCTTTATCGGACTTAGCAGATTGGCGGACACGCCCCATCATCTGCATTGGACAAGACTGTAAACAAGTGCGTAGGTTGGCCATGGACCTCTTCGGACCCTATAAGCACATCTGCTAGAGACAGTAGACTCAGTAGACGCAGAAAGGCATGCGTACCATTCCACTATCT